AATTCATCAGCCGTCAGTAGACACGAAATGACAATAGTGTGCACAAAGAAGCCAAAATGTCCATTAATATGCAGATTACTGGCCCATGGAGGACACGCGTCCAAGGAGTGGACTGCCGTGACGCCCATGCGTCACAGCCACGTGCAGCGTACCCCGCCACCCATTTCAGTTTAGCCATATCTCCAGACACTGAACCACCACATCGCAGATTCGATGCCCCCTTCGAAAGCGTGGTCAAGGGTAATACAATGCAGAACTGAGGCTGAATTTGTTAGTTACCGATGGCAAGTCTTCTGCTGCTCGGTAGTGCGCGGTGTGATGCCACTTGTCTGCTCAATTTGTCCGGGTGATCATGAAATGATCGAGCGACACCTTCATTGCAAGAGTGTAACGTGTGAGAATAGCGTGTCATGTACAAAGTGCCCTGTTCGCTGGAAGGTCCGTCACTGCCCTACAGCATCTATTTGGGTCATTCTTAGCAACGGAAAGCCTCACCTGGCGACACTGAGTGTGCCGTGCCACCACGCCCTAAGGTTACACCCGAAATGAAAGCCTACATCCACCGAATGGACGAAAATGCAGTACCACCTCGGCTAATCTGGAGTAACCTCCTGCGAGCTCCTGACATCCTGAAACCGGCCCTGGGCTACCCATCGTACGCCCAGGTACAACGCAGCGTTAGGTACATACGCTGGCTTCAAGGAAGCAAAAATTCAATACAACGAGTGAAGGAGCTGGCGCATTCTAAGGCTTATGAGGCGGACATTGACCTTGAGACTGCTTGTGTATTTGGAAACGTTGAAGACGAAAACGGTTTCCCGTTTGTGGGAAATGGAGAGGACGAGCAACCGTTGATTTTGGGCATCACTACAATGAAATTGCTGCGAGGCATTCGTGCACTACAACGAGCGGAACCTTTCCTAATTTTTCATCTGGACGCGACTTTTAAACTCAGTGATCTTGGGTACCCTGTCATCACGTGTGGCTTCACTGATAAGCGCCGTGTGTACCACCTAGGTGCCTTATTTATTGTTAGCCAGCGCACGGAAAATGAGTACTTCAAGGCTATTGGAACATTTACGAGGCTTTTTCAGACACACACACAACCCCCACTCAGAATTGATGCTGCTATGGGTGATGCCGAAGCTGCCCAGCTAAACGCACTATCAAAGATTGCTGTATTTAATAGCTGCAAGTACTTGATGTGCTTTTTTCACGTGCTATATAACGGTTCGAAAACGCATCCGGCACTTGCCCGATTCGACCCGGGCAGTTGTTTACCGTGGAATTCTAGATATGCACTATACACTCTGTGACGAAGATTTGATTTCTGTCTGGAACCAAGTGATGAGTGACTGGGAGCGTGATTTTCGTTTGCTGGACTTTGTTAACTATTTCTATAACCAATGGATAGCAAGTCGGTTCTGGCGTTGGCAAATCTACCACTCTCCTGGTGGGTTTGCAACGACAAACAACCCGTGTGAGGTCTTTAACGCCAGCATCAAACGCTACACGCAACGGAAAGCGGTGGATACTAGACGCTTAATAATAAAGCTGCTCACGATTGTAGAAGACTACTCCATTTGCGCACCTACGCCAGCAACGGGTTCGTTACCAGGTCCCCCTCAAGAAGCCAAACGGTTAGCCAAAGTACTTGTTTCAACTCGTCGAATTGCAGTGTTCCGAACCCGTGACGAATCAAAAGTTCGAATTCGATATCTTGGAGACACTGGACGTGATAACGAGGACATTGCAAACATTGCCGCAATTGGTGATTCGCGGGTTGTAGATATAACGCCGGAAGTGGGTTTATTTAGCTCTGCGGAGTGCCTGACGGACGACGAGAAAAAGTCAGCATCAACGTTTTATCGCTCAGCGGTGAAATGGTCAGTCCGACGAGCGCACCATGTTGGTATGCCACCGACGGATGGTTAGTTAGCACTTCTGTATTTGAGTGCGGGTGCGCGTACTACAAAAAATTTCTATCTGTGCGCATGTCATATGTGGACGCATGGCCATCGGGCTAAGTGTACCTGGCGATAGGAAGGGTTTCATGTGAAACTCAAGGATCGCAGAATTCGCCGGTGCCCGCGGATGCTAAACGAAAACATGCAGCTCGCTCGTTACTGCAAAGCAGTGATCACGCTATGGAGACTGTGTTTAGCTGCCCCGTTTCGGATGTCAGCAGTGACTCCTCGCTGCGTTTCGATCTTCTGAGTGCATCGGCTCAGACGTTTTTACGTGACTTCACGGATGACGGCGTCAATTTGGACGGGCCAGTTGCTGCAACCACTTATGGGGGAGAAAATAATCGGATGGATGTACACCCAGAGACTAGTGCTGCTGTTTTTGCGGATTCGGCAAGTGGATGGACGCAAACTCAGGTGGGTGACGAATTTCTTTCTGCAGACAGCATCCATGAGGCAACGAGTGGCAGCATTCAAGAATCTACTGCCTCATCCAATATTTCAAGGATCGACATATCGTCGCTACTGTCGCCGATACAGCCTCCAGATATATTTACGAAGAC